ATTACAACATCCAAATATTCATCCAAATATTCAAGAGTTGATGAAAATATATATTAGATGGATGTTTAAATGTGGGGGCATCCATTATGGAAAAAAAAAATAATAGAAGACAACCTTTTTCTTTTGGTACAATAAATTGTTATATGTGTTAAATTACTGTGACACGTCACTTGTTTTGGATGACTATATATAGTTGTAGTTTTCCTCATTTGAGTTTCTTCTCCTCTCAAAGAATTCTCTCTTATTTTGTTCTGGTTTGTGTTGACATCAATTATTTAAAAGTTCTGCCAAATCCAAGTAATTTGAGGTTGCGTAGTTCTATCCGAGTTAGTCGTCGTGGTATCCTACTGAGACGATCCCTATAGTCTGCTAGTAACTTGTGCAGAGCGAATAATTATCTTCAGATCAGCGGCATTGAAGAGTGTCTCGACCATATTTATCAAGTTGGTATTCATCAAGTTGTCAAGATCTGTAATTGTTTGTAGCCACTTAGGTTGTAAATTGTTTGTCAGCGTTATTCAGTTTACATATACAACATATATTTATCAACAGAAAGCACAAGCAAAATCACGATGACTTATACTAAAGTGAACAATACCGTACCACCGTAAAAAATGGTCTGTTGTTTCTAACAAATAGTGAATTGTCTGTTCATTCTCACTTGGTACTTCCATTAAGTCATGGAAGTAGATCATAGATGAGAAGGCACAAATAAAAATAAAAAGAGAAAAGAAACATACAGAGAAATCCACTCATGCCTATATTTTCATAATGTTGAATCTATTTTCTCCACGTACACAATCACTCCTTTTCCTTTACATATAAATATCATCATTCACTCATATATATGCTAAAATAAACTATATATATATAAAACCCTAGCAAGCACCTACGGACAACCACTAAAGTTTGACACTTTTTATTTTTTCAAAATAGAGAAAAAAGAGTTTCTCCTTTTTAAGTATTTCTCTTTTTTACCTGTCAAAAATTTAACGGTGGTCGATGAATATACAAAGATGAGTGATGACCGATAAGCATCTAAGTAATTTTCATCGATAATTAAGATTTGATCTTGAAGGTGTCGATGTTTGAACCAGCTAGACGAAAAGAGTAAATGTGAGACTTGTAGTGGGCCCAAGTGAAAGGCCTATAAAGGCTTTGTTGATTAGGGTTTACCATTTGTGGTAGAGGAGAGATCCATGCATCCAAAGATGGTGCTCCAAAGTAAGCCATTGACATTCTTGGCTTTGGCCCTGTGTTTGCCACTGCCCTATGCTTTATGCTCACAAATCTTCCATTTGTTAAAACCTTCATTTCCAAAAAAAAAAAAAATTATATTTATATTAATATTTGAACTATAATATTAAATAGAAAGAAAATGATGTGATTATATATATATATACCTGAAATAGATCACCAATCATGACATAGAAAGCAGTGGGATCAGGAGAGACAGGAATCCAGGAGCCATCGTCCAATGAGATTTGGAGGCCATCGACGTCGTTTGATCTCAAGATGGTCATGATCTGAGGGTCGGAGTGTTCTCCAAATCCGATATTATTGTTATCGAAGTCGGGTGATTGACGGTAGTGATTGATTCTGAAAAGTGAGTCATTTTGGACGTCTGAGATCAGACGGCTGAAGATGGATTTGTTTGGAATACACAAGCCCTCAGCTAGGAGATCCAGGAGCTCGCAGGCTAGATTTTTTACTGCTTCCATGTAATCATTCACAGCACAACTGCGTTAAAAAAAAGGTAAAAAAAGTTGATAAAAGGGTAAAAACCAAAAGTTTCAAGGTTGGAATGTGCATTAGAGAATGTTATTATTACTCGTCTCCCACTAATCCAAAGCTTAAAAGGACCAGAAGGAAAACAAAAAGAAAAATAAAAGATCAAGAAAGATGGATCTAGCAATCCTTTTTAAGGGGGAAAAAAAAAAGAATATATACAATATATAAGATATGAACAACTTAGTTCTATGATACTTTTGTGAGGTTTTAAAGGCTTTGCCCCCTATTGGTGATTTATTCCTATTGGCACCACAATTTAGACCATATTTAGAGTTATGAGGAATTTCATTGGTATAAAAAATCACTTATTTTTCTGTTAACCACCGTTAAAATTTTGACATGTAGAAAAGAGAAAAGTAGGAAAAGAAATATTTCTCGATTTTTTTTTAAAATGAAAAGTTATCATATTTTGAAGGACCTTACAAAAGTAGCAACTACTTTTCAATTTTCTAAAAATTGGAGTCCAGACAACGATATAAATTTGATATACCATTAATATACTTGAAGAGGGTAAAATCAGAATAACTAAGAATTGAAAATCAAATTTCAAATATTTTGCCATTTTTACAAAACTCAAAAGTTGTTATATTTGTCAAATATTGTAGTTACCCGTTACAAATTTCATTTTTTTAACGGTGGTAGTCAATAAGACATATGCTAACTAATAAACGTCTGAGCATTTTAAAATATGAATCTAATGTTTATCTTCCAATAAATTATTGAAAGGAAATTCAGCCACCCTATATAGAAATTTTTAAATCAACGGTTCAAACATAATGTAAAAGTCATGTGTGCTATTTTTCAAGTTTGATGTTAAGTCAATAATTTATAATTAAATATAGATGTGAAAGAAAACAGAAGAGATGGGTATAGATTTTATTTAGTAAAATATTGAATTGTTTATTTGTGGTTTTCATGTGAACCATTTTTGGTTATAGGATAAAGGGGGAAAAAAACAAATTTCCCACCAAAATAATAATATTTAATTTGAAATAAAACTAACTTGGTCAAATTGAAGCATTAAAATAATTATATTTAGGAACCAAACAACCCTCAATTTCAGCTTCAACTCCGGAGCCTGTTTGGGAACTTTGAGAAGTACTCCCAAATTTTTCCCTTTTTAAATTCTCCAAACAAATAATAGTAATAGTAATAAATTGAAAATAAACCAAAAGTTTTAAATTATCACTAAGTTTTTCTTCTTTTAGTTCAAACAAGGGTGAAGATTATAGAAATTAATATTTAAACTTCATTCATGAGTTTAACATTAATTTAATAAAAAAACTATAATAAATTAGATAAAATAAAATATATATTACCAAAGAGACTTTTAGTTGGTTTTGTGTGATGATATAAGTTTTACCATTTATATCATTTTAATAAATTTTAAGCTTTTAGCCGAAGCGAACATAATTTATCCGTAATTAACATATATCTCTAATTAAAAGATATTGTGAGTTCGATCCCGCCCTACATATTGTAATAAAAAATAAATTTTAAACTTTTAGCATTTTAAATATAAGTACATATTTACTTTTGTGCTATTTTTTCAATTCCCTCATTTAATCAAGAAATCTGACTCCGGAGGAGAATTCCACAAAGATATACCTAAGATTTTAATTAAATAATCTCGCAGGAAGAGAGAGTTGAGAAAAAAAAATAACGTCAAAGCGAAGATAGCTTAGCGTTAATTAACATATATCTCCTACCAAGAGTGTTGTTATGAGTTCGATCCTCACCCCATGTGTTATACTAAAAATAAAAAAGAGAAAAAAAAATAACCTTAATACTATGAATTTGATTCTCCGCCAGCACGTGTTTTTTTTTTTAAAAAATGTTTTTTTTAGACATACAAAATCTATACAAACTTAGCCGATAAGTTAGGTATATTTTAATAGTTTCATATGTTGTTTTGAGGAGGGAGAGAACGAAAAAAACCTGAATTTTGATGGGTTATTGGAGATGGAGTGGGCGAGTTGAGAGACCAAGGAGGGGTTGGCGGAGAGGAGAAGATATTCAATCTCTCCCATGTCGCCGTTGGCGCCGATGTTTTTGACGCCGTAGCCAAAGCGGGTGGTTTTGCCACCGCCACCGGTGGTAGGACGATCTGTAGGGGCGGCGGCGAGCTTCTCGGGGGTGGGCTTGGCGAAGAAAGCAGCCACTTCTTCTTCAACTCTAGAAATGGCGCCCCGGGGGACGGCGTGGTTGATGAGCTTGAAGATGCCATAGTCTTCGCAGGCTTCGACGAGGAGGCCGGAGAGGGCTCGGCGGTCGGTGGCGGAGAGGGAGAGATCAATGGTGGGGATGGCTCCGCTGGGGTTGCTCATCTTTCTGGTTGGGGAAGAATTGGCTTCTGCTACCACCATTATTTTTGCGTTGGCTTTTGGAAGAGAATAAGGAAGTAATATGTGAGGAATCGTGTTGGGATTTGAAACCTGAGATGTAGTGGTTATATTTATACTATACCATCTCGAGAGAGAGATTTTCCATTCATCTCCTTGAGAAACAAGTGGACTAAATTTTATTATTATTATTATTATTTTATTCGAGAATGCTCGAGTCAACAGTGTCGAGAGATACATAGAAAAAGTAACCATCACGGGATTTGAACTCTTTTCCTCTCAATTTATCTAAGCTTTATGGATTACTGAGGCAACCTATGATAGTTAGGTGGGCTAAAATTTGGTTTTCGTATTTTAAAAAGTTTATGATATTATTAACTTTCAATTCTATTTCGTGCATTAACTTTGTTAATTTAATGTTAAGTAGCTAGCACTGTGACGGTATTATTTACAATTATATGGCAAGCGTGATTTAGACATTTGTTAGTATAAACATTAAACTAATCAAGTTAATAACAATGGTCTATTAAAAGCAAAATTTGAAAGTTCAAAAAACTTAAACTTTGTGACTATGGGTTACCTTAAAAGTTTAGATATTTATTAGAAAAATTTTAAATTTTAAAGGATAGGGGTAGAGATGATATAATCTTAAAACTTCATGAACTAAACCAGTAATTTAACAGTAAAAAAATAAATATTTGCCTACATGCTAATTTTTGTAATGGTTAAAAAAATTAGTATAAATGTGTAATACATTTCTCCATATTAAATAAATTGAAATAGACTACTAAAATATATATTCTTTTTAGTACAACATTTGGATATAGATATTTAAATTTACGATTTTTTATCGAAAATAGATGCTTTGACCAATTTAATTAGATTAAAATTGACCTACTGAAATAAATTAAACCATATTACCTACGTGCCTGCCATTAAATTTTCATTAATTATTTATTCAAAAAGAATATATAGAGACGTTAAAACAGCTTTATAACTCGTGTATTATGTATAGTTTCCAATATTTGACTCGCAAATAAATATATTAAGTAGTAATTGATATATATCTCTAATTAAAAAGTTGTGAGTTCGATCCTCCACCCCTATATTATACAAAAAAAAATTTATATATTTATTTATCTAACTATCTACTATCAACTGATTCAAAGAAAATGAACTACAATAGGGCTAAAATGATTTTTTTAATTAGATTTTGAAACCAAGCTACGAGATTTTGGTTTGCTGTTTTTTTTTTTTCTAAGGCAAGTTTGCTGTTTTTGTTTGTTCACACTCACATTTTTCTAATTACTTTATTGTAACTACCATTGAATAAAACGTTCTTAATCTTGAAAATTCCACCATATTCAAATTATTTTGATAAACCAAGGTTTTAAATGTCGATGTCAATAGAAATGTCGAGTTCTCAATTTCATCGAAATATCGATAAAATATCGATGTCAATAGATATTTCTGTAAAAGTTAGAAAAATTAAAAAATCGTATAAAATATTTAAATTAAAAAATAAACATTTTCCTATTTCTAAATTAGTTAAAAATAATTAATATTAATATGATATATATATTGGTGACATTTTGTTGATATTTTTCATGTTTTGTCAATTTTATTGTACTATGATGGAAATGTCGATGTCAAATCCATGAAAAGATAGATATGTTGATAGGAATATCGACGTGTTGAAGGATATTTATAACCATGATTATAGAATCAATACTTTTCCACTTTTTAGGAGAGCCTTTTCTTATTTAGTCACAATTATCTTGTTAATGAGAATTGTTTGGGTGATTATGTTGTTATTGGGAATGACTTGGAAAGGAAATTTATGGCAAGAGAGCTTGTTTCTTTGTTCTTTTTTCCTATTTTATACTAATAATAATAAAATATGTTCAATAATTATTCTTGTTCTTTTCATTTTTACTGAAAAAGAAAAAAATGGTACGACAGTTAACTAGCAATAAATTTGACCTTTAACGTGGTCAATTGCGAGTACATATTTAAAGCAACGTTTTTCTTTCAAGCCACGACAATGACTTTTTGTGTTCTTTTATTTATGGTTAATTTGATAAGTCATGATGGGTGAAAATGGGAGAAGTCTTATTTTAGTACAACATGTGATGGTGGGAGATGGAACTCAATTGAAGATATATGTCAATTATTGGTGAGTTATGTTCGCTTTTGGCGAAAAGGGGAAGAAATTCATTTAACTTTTTTTTTTGCCAAAACGAGCATAGTTTAACGGTAATTGACATATTTATCCAATCAAGAGGTTGTGAGTTCGATCCCCACCCAACATGTTGTATTTAAAAAAATTGTTTTAATTTTATGGTCCCTTAGATAATAGTTTCATTTTTTATTTTTTTTTTCAAAAGTTATACTTGATTCCTTTTTATTTTTTTATATGTTTTTCACAACCCATATCTTTAAAACACATGAATTCTTAGTCCACTTTTAAAAACAAAAATAAGTTTTAGATTACCTTTTTTTAGTTTTCAAACGTTCGCTCAGTAAACTTTCAAATATTTTATCTTGGCCACTAAACTTTCTATAAAATACTATTTGAGTTATTGTAAGCTTGTAAGCTTTTTATACAAAATAGAAAAAATTATGGTTTCATTTTATAATGATTTCATTGTGTTGTTTCTGTTTTTGAAATGATGTTTTTATTCCTCACACATTCTTTTTTTTTTTAATACAATATTTAGAATAAAGACCGAATTTACAACCTGTTAATTTGAGATATATGTCAATTATCGGTAACTTAAGTTTGCTTCGAGAGTAAAAATAGTGTCTATAAACTCAATTTTAAAAAACCAACTAGTTATTAAAGGAGACCTAAAAAACAACCATTAAAAAATGAGTCACAATAGTTATGATCTAGAAAAATTGATTTAAACCTAAAAGTTTGTACCTATACCACCCTTTTAATTTATGTCATTAATCAAGAAAAATTATTTTACAAGGAATGATGAGCATTTTCACTCAAATATGATCATTAAAAGAAACAAAAACTACCAAAACTTTAATATATTGAAAAAGGGAGTTATGTTTTCCATTATGGTAAAAGTAATTGTCATCCACCAAGTTGATTTCTAAAACATAGCTATAATATGAGAACAAAAGAATTTGATTATATTTGACAAAGTTTCACATATCTTTCCCTTTTTCCTTTTAACTTTTATATAAAGCAATCTTAGAATAGCTATGAAATTGGCATTTAATTAATTAAAATGGAGCTTCCCTTCTTATTTCGGGGGTTTTTCTCCAAATGTTTAATTTCTATAAACTCTTTCATTAGCTTATTTGTGTATGCATATCTACTTCATCTAACATCAATCAATCTATTTCCTATTTTCTATTTTGATTACAAGAGCGTGACGTTTTCTTATAATAGTTCGTCTTTTTATTTACACCTTTGGTTTATAACTTAAATAGGTCTTTTTATTTACACCTTTGGTTTATAACTTAAATAGATAAAATTATTTCAAAAGTCCCGTTATCTAGATTTCTTTTTCAGCCATCTTTTAGCATTAAAGTGATTTATGATGATGTTAATTAAGGTGCACATGTCTGGAAAATTCGATTAATTGATTTATTGAATTTTATGATATGCTTTTTTTCAATTGCGTATTGTGCAACAATCAAAATTCATCGTAAATATATTATCTTATTTTAGAACATACAGATCACCTAGATCTAATTTGTTGCCTATGATTTGCTTTGTTAGGTAATAAATATTTTTTTAGGCATAAACTCGTTTTCAAAATACTATTATTGTAGTTATCCTTTTGAATTTGGATACTCAATTACCCAAAAATTAATTATTTATTTTTACTAAAGGATAAACCAAAGAGCATTTCCATACCCCATATTTGGGTTATTGATCAAAATATGCAAAAATAAAATTATTTCCTACATAAATGTAATCCACGTTATTATTATTTTCTTATATATTACTCTTGTGATTTATAATGGAAATTGTAATGGAAAGACCAAGCTTGACCCGACAGACAAACGACATCACAGGTCCAAGAACGTGATCAGATCTCAACTGATCAGATCTCTGTCGACCACGTCTAGTGGTCGGCTGTCCAGGTTTTGTTGGTCCACCGACCAGCGTTCGTGCCTGATTTGTGTGCTTCATCGATAAGCCCATTTGGGCTGGTTCCCATTCTCTTTTACCGTTCGGTCTACAATAGGGCTATTACCAAGGCCCAAGCCGTTTGGAAAGAGAAGATATCTTGTAAACCCTTGGGTTCTGAAATCTATAAAAAAAAAGAGAAACCTCAAGGTATGCGACAAAACCTTAGTGATTGTTATGCTTCACGTTAGACCTCAATTCTGACTTAAGAATCAGAGTATGTGGAGCTAGCAACATAGTGGTGTATAACACTTCTATTTTGTACGTTCGTTGAATCTCTTATTGTTCTTGAAGATGGGTACAAATTTAGTAAATCCCAATGCATCAAAAGAAGTAAAAAAAAAAATAGTGCAATAAAATTTTGATTTAAGTAATTAAGAAATCAAAAACTCTAGTTGCTTCTTTCTTCAAACACTTACTTAATTGTGTAGAAAAAATGATAGTTTATTCCACAAAAGAAAAAAAAGAAAAAAAAAGGAACTTCTTCGGTTTAAGTTTTCTGTATTTGAAATGTATGATAAATATCTTCTTTAACAAGGATTATATTTTGTGTATTCAAATTTTAAAAACCATATCCTTCAGTGTCTTAATTATCATGTCATATGTTTCATCCAAGGATATTAAAAATAAATATATTTAACTAATATTTATCTATGTCAAAAATGCCCTCATGATATTTTGAAGTAATTTCTCATGATATTTTGAATATCCACGTGATTTATGAATTTACAATTACTATTACAGATTTCACTTCTTCAACATAATATAATATGATATTTAGATTTTGCACGTTAAAAAAATATTTGAACCATTTTAAAAATACAAAGCAAAATAAACAAACCATGAGATTATCACTTAAGAGAAAATTAAAT